GACTTAAGAAACAGGATCTCGTTCAGTTTCTTGCCACAATTCACTTTAAGAACTCCTGAGCCGGGGCTGGGGATTTAGCTCAGCGGCATAATCGCCTGCCTTGCAAGCAGGCAGTCGTGAGTTCGATCCCTGGTACCAAGAAAAACGAAAAACAAAAACAAAAACAAAAAAAAAAAAAGAACTCCTGAGCCTCTAAACGCAAGAAGCACGAAAGAAAAGATTTTGCTGGGTACATCAAGAAGCTGGCTTTGAACTTGAGACATTTGCTAAACCTAGTAAATGAACACAGAGAAAAAGACAAAACCCACAGCTCAGCCTGGGCAAGAAGGCAAGAGTAAAAGAATTCACAATCTCACCTGCTGTGGCCCCCACCACCTCCACCTGGTTAGAACCGTGGCACTGAGAGGTCAGGCACAAGACGCTTCCTTGGCCCCACCCCATCTCCAACAGCCTTTAAACACAAGTCAGGCCTTCTGTGAATGCAAAATGCTACATAGCACCTGCTGGGGGAGGAAAAACCTCAAGCCAAAGCTACTAATTCAAAAGTAATCCTAAAAAAATAGAATAGAATAGAATAAAATAGAACAGAACAGAACAGAAGTAACACTGCAACATACTCTTGCAAGATTGTGGAAAAACAGGTACTCCCATACCACTTCTGCTAAGAATCAAATTACTGAGGGTTGTATTTCAATAACAGAGATATTACATAGCATTAACTCTCTGATCCATCAACTCACCACTGGGATGTAAAATGGAATGACATATGCAAAAGAATATGCAACACAGTATCACTGTAAAAGAATAAAAGGAAAGCAAATGAATATTGATTGTGTACATACTATCTATGCAGTGGGATATTATTCAGCCAGAGACAAGAAGGAGCATTTACCTGAAACAGATATATAGTAAGTCCCTGACTTACAAACATACAAGTTGCAAACACATCGTGGAAATAGCTCCCACGCCTGACAGACACTCAGAGCTGTGCTGTGGTGCTTACTGTATAAAGCATTGGTTGGTGGTAGCATAGTACACTGGGGGACTTAGTGCATTTTCACATAAATGTTTGGTGTTTTTGTGCTTTACAGTACATATTTGTGTCAAAGGTGTGTAAGACTCACTTTGCGAACTTATGAATGAATCTGACCTAATAACATTCTCCTGGAACTGAACTTGTTTGTAAGTTGGGGATCTACTATAATTTTAAACTGCAAAAACCACATATATGGAACATGTTAACTTTTACATAACACAAGGATGAAAATACGTGTAACATTTTCCAAACAAATCCAGAGTTAAGAAGAAAATGATAAGCAGATGTGGTAGCACACACTTGTAATCCCAGAACTCCAGGAGGCTGAAGCAGGGGTATCAGAAGTTTGAGCCCCAGCTGGGTGACTTAGGGAAACCCTGTGTCAAAAACAGTTAAAACAGGCTGAAGAGAAAGCTTTGTTCATTGTGGCTTTCCTCAAATGTTTTACATTCCAGGCTTCTCCCACACTGCCCACTCATGGACACCCTGCTCAACTTTCAAGGCCTTCTGAAATTTAGGCGGGAGCCTCCCTGACCCTCAATCCTTGCGTTCTGCATGTCTGTAAAAGCAGCACCATGTGGATAATGTCAAGGTCTGCTGCCAGCTTGACCAGGAGTTGGGGCCCCTTGAATTAGAGATGCAGAAACATCTCAGTTCCTGGATGACTAAGCATTGAGAAGCAAATTGTAAGGAATGAACTCCTTAGGTGGCAATTCTCAAGCACACTGCAGAGCTTTTCCCTCTTGCAATTTTGAGCCCCCAGAGGATGGAGCCTTGCTGATTTCAGACATGCTATTAAGTCATTTTTCCTGTTGTCTCCAGGTCAAAGCACTTGGCTTTTCAATGCGAATCTTTTCAAGCACTCTTCTGCCCTTCTTTGTGGGTCCTTTCTTTCTGGCAAAATGACAAACTTAAAAATGAACTTTATGCTCTTGCTTTTCAGTGAAAACTTGGCTAAAAGTCATCATGCCACCCAAAACTCGTGTCTTCTCAGGTCTGACTAGAATCTCCCATCTAGCTCAGGTCACAGCATTCTAGGGATTCTCTAGTCAGCATCATTAATCCTTTCCTAACTCCAAAAATACTTGCAAAATGCTTCCAAGGTTTCTGAAACATGTACTCATGTACAGTCAGAGCAATGGCCCCACTCGCAGTATATGACCTTAGTCACTTCCTAGTCTCTGAGACACAATATCCAGCACCTGAAACTTACAGGAGAAGTTTACTTTGGCTCATAGCTTGTAGGTTTCAGTCCATAGCTGGCTGACTTTGAAGCAGAAGGAGCATGCTGGAAGGGCCACAGCATAAGAAAGCAGTTCTCCTCATGCTGAAGGCCACAGAAAGAAAGAGGAGGCAGGAAGGGAGACATACCTTCCAGGTCACCTCCACAGTGACCTTCTCTTCAGGTCACACCCACCTCCTCACAGCAGGAAGCTCTAAGTGCCAATAATCCAATCATCTTCCAAACACAGGAGGCTTTGGGGGCATTTTAGATCTAAACCATAGCATCTACTTTTTGTGAAATCAGGATTACCAGCTTGGAGAAAGAACTATCCATGGAAATGAGATCTGGTATCAAGAAATGAAGCAGAAATTCTGGCAAAAAAGGACAAGCCCTTCACCCCTGTCCTCAGAACAGAGAAAAGTAGGTCAATTTATGAAAACACAAAATTCTCAAACTGTTAAAGAGAAAAATCAGTTGATTTCAAACAGGGTATACAAATAGTAAGAAAAATAAAATTCAAAGATGAGATAGTAAAACAAGAAAATGAGATAAGAAATTAGAAACTCAGCGAAGTAAAATGAGGAATGAGTATCATTTAGCAATGCATAAAACAGAAGCAGGAAGCAACATAACAGAGCTGAAAATCTAATTCCATCAGAAGAAAGACTTGAGATAAACACAAGTGGATTAAAAAAGACAGAGACGGGGCTGGGGATTTAGCTCAGCAGCATAAAGCGCCTGCCTTGCAAGCAGGCAGTCTAGGCAACATAAGAACCACCCAACTTATTGACATGTGAAAATGTGCCACTGAAGTAAAGGACATCTAATCAAATCTGTCTTTATATGCCTACAAAGCTTAATTTGGAATAATGTAAAAGATACATTTTCAAAGAAAAGTACAAGTCTCTAGAATAATGAAGATGCTATCAGCCAATGTGTAGCATAAATTATTTAAAAGTATTCCCAAGTAAATGCTTCAACAGTGCTTTCTCTAAAGCACTGTTTTAGCATAATCTTTGAAGATATGTTGGATTTTTAATTAGTGAGGACTAACTTCATACTTCTCATTCAATTCAAAAGAGAAACTAGTGTTGATATGTATTCTTTGGCATGTGAGAATAAAAATACAGTGATTATGAATTGTTAAAAGTCAAATCTAGCCTTACCCCCTCCTTCAAAAACCAGAATCAATGGTTCTTACATGCTAAGAAATGTAAACAAACATTGCCATTATGGTAAATGATATGGAGGTTCTTCAAAAAACTAAAAACACATTATGATCCAGCTATCCTAACCACCAGGCTTTCCATAGAAATAATATCAGTACACCAGTGTATGCTAACAACCTGCACTCCACATTTACTGTAGCAAACAATGGCCAACATCTGGAATAAACTGAGATGTGTCCACCAAACATGAATGGATAAAGAAACGTAATATAAACACATAACAGATTATTATATAGCCATTAAAAATAGTAAAATCTTGTTATCTGCAGCAACACAAGTGGAACTAGAGGACATTACATTAAGTTCAATAAGCCAGGTACAGAAAGACAAATACCATCTCTTCTCCTTGTGCAAACTAAAAGATGTTGAATTCATGTAAGAGGACAACAGAAGAATGATCACTAGGAACTAGCACTGGGCGTGGGGGGGGGGGGATGGGATAAAGCCTACCAACATACAAAGAGTAATTACAGTACTACTGGTATTCTCTACTTCAAGAGGGTGATTATAATAGCACACAACTTACTACATGTTTTCTAAGGCACTAGAAGCAAGGCATTCAAAGGTTCCCAACAAAAAGAAATTATAAATGTTTGAAGAGATGGAAATTCTAATGATTCTGATGCGACCATTATACACTGTACATGTGTATGGAATTAGTACCCCAAACTCTTACGTATAATCTGAAAAGAAATCAAGCACTGTTTCTTTCATATACCATAGAATAACTGCCAACAGTTGATATGTTTAAGTCTCAATTAAAACACATTATTTTATTAAGTAGGAATATTTTAAGAACTTCCAAAAATTTCTGCTGTTTGGCTAGGATTGTGATTATGTTTATTCAAAATTCATATAAAATATAAACAAAACTCATTAATTTTTGATAATTCTTTTTTTGAAAATACATTTACTGAATATACCTTAAAAACCAAATTTTCCAAATGGTTAAGGAATCTTGTCTATTGGAAGTTATCTATTCAATTTTCATCAAACTGGCATTTCAATAAATCAGTAAATACTATTAGTCTGAAATTATATATATTTTAAACTAAATATTTCTCCTTCAATAGCAATCTATAGTTACACAACATATTTTTATTATTTTGGTAACAGCAATGAATTCTATTTTATGTGAAACAGGACATTGATTATACAGCCTAAAAGATCACAAAGACAGCATTCAGCATGAATAATAAAAGGGGAAACAGGCTAATTTTCAGAAGTAGTCCCAACATGTGTGTGGAGGCTTTTAAGATGACATTTAGGTTTCTACAAATTGGGAAAGTAGAAAAATAATTATTACAATTTTAAAGGGAAAACATTGATTCTTTTGTAAAAACATGATGGCCAGTAACGTAGTACCATTTTAGAATAAATTGTCATAAAAACTGTTGTTATTTTTAAAATACTGCCACCATTCTGCCACTTAATACATTATGATTGGAGGAAGAAAAGCTGTATAGCTTTTCTTTTATCAATGAAAGCACTTTTTCTGGTGAACACTTACCATCCATTCAGATATAATAACATCCACTTTTTCTACAGGAAGATGAACTTCTTCGATCTTTCCTTTAATTAGTACAATAGTATCTTCAAGTTTATTTAGTCTGAAAATTATCATAATGGATTACGTTAGTACATTTACACAGGTTGTAAAAACTAGTTAAATTACATTTTTTTTTTTTTTGTCAACTGTTCACATTGTTTTGTGGAACAAAAAGGGGTTCAAAGTTTATCCTGTGCATACTGTAACAATCTTTTGGTTCTCCCATGAATGCTGAAGATGTTTCCAGTTGATATGGCAGTATGCTAAACCAACTGAAAACTTCCTGTTGGAAAGAAATCAGTTTTACAAAAAATACATGCCAATAAACTGTGTTTTTAAAAAATAAAAAGATGTGTGTGAGGGGGATGAAGACAGAACACCAACAATGAAAGTGCCATTTAACACCATAAGTAAAGTAGGTTATAAGCATGTGCGAATATGGTGAAATCAAACTTAATTCAATTCACAGGTTTTTCAAAGACAATACAAAGAGGCAATGTAAAATATTTTGTTGGACGTTTTAAAAACAGACTTTAGGTTGAAATGAGAACAGTTTAGCTACATTGGGCTTAATAAAATTATTACAAAGCTAAACTAAAAATAAAATAAAGGGAAGTCATAGTGGTGAAAGAAACCTTTGACTTCCAAGCCAGATCTTCTAGTACTTTGACTAGCTGACTCTCAGTACTTAACTCTCTGACTCTCGCCAAGCTCTCATCTCATGGGGCAGTGTGTTTGCATGTGAGAGACTTAACACTTGTCCTACTTACTTCACAGGCTATTGGGGATCAAATATTTTTAAGAACTGTGCGTATGCTGCAAGCACTACATAATAATGATATCATGAATAGCAAAAATACTGCATGTTCCATAAAACCCAAATTCTTACTCCAACCACAATTTAACTTGCCCAGTGGTGTTCATTAGATATTTTTATGCTTGACCGTAAGATTAGCACATATAAATAACTTCAGAAGGTTAAAATCAAGCTGTAAGGGGGCTGGGGATTTAGCTCAGCGGCATAAGCGCCTGTCTTGCAAGCAGGCAGTCATGTGTTTGATCCCTGGTACCGATGAAAAGGAAAAAGACAAAAAAAAAAAAAAAAAAAAAAAAAAATCAAGCTGTAAATTGAAGGTATATTTAATCACGAAATTTTAAGTCCTCAAGCCTCAGAAAAGGTACATTTCGAAGATAAAGGATTTTTTGGTATCAAAGGAGATAGTCTCACTTCATCAAGGTATTATTTACATATATGTATTTGTTTTAAGAATATATTTTGTTGAATTCTGAAAAACATTAATATAGGGTGACCACTACCATCCTCAGGACACAGAGCATTTCCAGTTCTGTTGAAAGACTCAGGTGCCCTTTCTTAGAAAATGCCTTCAGCTACAATATTAGTAGTGATTTTCATTCACTACTAATAACTTTGTATTTTATAGGGTGTTGTGGGGCAGAATTACAGTGAAGGTACCATTTTGTGTCTGGTTTCATCCAATCAGCAAGGTATTTACAGGTCCGTGCATGTTGTGTGGACATTAGCACTTCTTTGCTCCTTGTAATCACTGAGGGATATTCTACTGCACGGTAAGCCCCACACTCACTCTCCCATGCATAAAATTCTGCATTGTTTCTAGCTTTCAAGTATAATGAAAGCTCTGTAACTATTTCAGTACAAGTAGAATCGCTCTGTCAAATGGTAGCATATATCCAACTTTCAAGAAACTGACAATCTGTTTTACAAATCACTTACATATACAACTGTACCATCCCAACAGCAATGTGTATTCTTGTTGCTTCACATCTTTGTCAACATTATCTTTTAAAATTTTTAACTGATTGTTAAAGATCTCATTGTAGTTATAAATTGCACTTTCCTAGTAACCAAGCCATTTTTTTATTGATGATCATATTATACACCTTTAATTTTCTCCCGTGTCAGTACTTACCAATGCAGCTTTGAAAAGACTGTTAGAAAGACTATCACTAACCAATGGCATTATTTTGGTATCTTTGTCAATCAAATATACATGAGTTTATTTCCAGACATTTGATTCCATCACATGATTTATTTATCTGTATTTCTTTGAAATGCCCAATTGTTGCTCCTTTTGGGAAGTACACACATTCTCAGGAGCATTCGGGGGGAGCTTTGGCAATGACTTGATGCCCAGATGAGTCCTCCAGGCTAAGGAACAGGCACTTCCCCTGTGCCACTCCAGTCTCCTCTACAGGCCACGAGGCGGGAGAGAATACACTTTCTCATCTCCAGGTTAGTTTCTCCCAAGCCCTGCTTTGTTTGGTAACTGTAATTTCACAAGCTGCTTTTCAGGAAAAAACAAAAAGGGGGGTCAAGGGCAGCTAGGAAGACAAAACCATAATCAGCTCTTATACAGGACTGGTTTAGATGGTTTCAGAAAAACTATGTGAAGAGGAACACTTAGACCTGGCTTCTACAAAGGAATTATTGACCAGCTCTGTAGAGGCCATCAGAGATTATAAATGGCTTATTGTTTGGCTAAATGATTTCAGAAAACAATAAAAATGATTAATGTCTGAAAATATATAGCAAGAAGATATTGACCAAGGTCAGAAAGTACACTGGGAGGAAAAAATTAAAACAGCTGATCATGGAGAATTATTTTCTGGGGAACATTAATCTCCCAGGTGAATTTTCCATTTAAAGTGGCTTAATATCCTTGCATGGTCCGGGAGGAAGTTACAAATATTAACAATAAACTCTGACGTATTTTAATTTCCAATTTCTGAAGTTTTTATGGTTGTCTTCTTGTATTTCCTGCCCCTCATTTCTTGGCTTACATAAAGATAAATATTTATGTTATTTTTATTTATGTACTTAGGATCTTAATGCTTTTGTTTTCTCATTTCCAATTAACTATACTTCCCTTTTTACCACCCTGCTGCATTGGCTAGGATCTCTGTATTACAGTGCTGAATGCAAGAGGTGATGACTGATATCCTGTCTTGCTCCTAAACTCAGAGAGGATGCTTTTAGCACATCACCAGGACAGTAACTGAATTCCATTTTTGATGCTATTCCATGTCACATCAGAACATTACTTTCTACTCTAGTTTTGTTTTGTTTGTTTATTTTGTCACTAGAGATTTTAACTTGGAGTCTTTACAAAAAGCTATATTTGAAGTCCTGTTCTTATTTTAATTTTGAACCAAGGTCTAAGTTTCCCAGGCTAGGCTTGAACTTACAATCCAGACCTTCCTGCCTCAGGCTCCTACAGTGCTAGAGTACAAGTGTGCATAACCAAGACTAGCTAGCTAAGAGTTTTAATCACACAGATGGGTACAGAATGGGTAGTGAATTTTATCATTTTTTCTACAAATATTGAGATAATTCTCAGTAATTTTTTTTCCTATGTTTAACCTTATTTTCCTATACTTAATCAACTTTGCATTCCTGTGGGAAACTGGATCACTGCACTGCCCAGGTAGCCAGCTAGCTTGCTTTCTCCTTTGAGTGCCAGGGATGGGACTCATTGCCTCCTGTGTGCTGAACCATCTACCACTGAGCTACACGGCCAGCCCAGTTTTCTAATACAGTAGTTTGATTAGGATTCTTATACTATGTTCATAAATAAGTCATCTGTGGCTCTTTTAGTTCTACTCTCTAAGGAGGGTGCTGGTATCAAAGTTACTGACCCCATATATTGACAGTTTGTTCTTGATAATGATGACCTGCAAGTATGAAGGAAAGAATGGGCTTTGTAATAAACTGCATAGGACAAATTGGTCATCTAAACAGAAGGTGGGCTGGGGGATGAATTAATGAATACCTGAATGAGAACAAACTGGACCACTACTTCGTATCATAAATAAAATTCAATGCCCAGTAGATTATTATCCTAAATATAAAAGGCACAATTAAAAAGCATTTACAAGAGACTATACCTCCATGACTTCAAGAATAGCAAATAAAATTTATTTCACTTACAAATAATGGCAACCATAAATACGAATGTTCCTAAATGAGAACTGAGAATTTAGTTCATCAAAAGAAAGTATAAAGAAGATAAAAAGACAAGCAAGAACAAGACAAGACTCTTGCATCACATAAAATCTATGAACAGCCAAGATCATTCATATGTATTTATTTTTCTACAAATAAAAGACACAGCTCAAGAGAAACATAAGCAAGAAAACATAAACAAATATTTGACAAAAAAAAAAATTCCAAATAGCCAACAATCACATGAACAGGTCTACAGGCTCATCAGCAATCACAGAATCACAATTTAAACAAAAATTAAATTTGAACAAAAATTAAAATTGAAACCTGTTGCTGCTATGCGGCCACCTTTAAAAGGTTGGAAGTACACCCAGAACTTTAAATGTATTACTGGCCTAAGTATAGAGTGGTCCAACAACTTTGGATAACAGCCTGGCAATATCTGGGAAATGTGAGGATGTGTACCCCTCAGAGACTGCAATTTTACCGGTTAAGTATACACCCTACAGACATGTGCAGCACAGGGCACATGTGTGACATACTCCCAGCAGAAGTGTTCTCAGCAGTCCACGTGACAGGAGGAGCAGAGGATGCGGGCAGATGTGAAGGGGTGGGAATGTTTTCTCTTTTGCCCTGGATGACGGTTACTACATTGTTACGGTTTATTTCTGGATGTTTCCGTGCTCACAGGTGGGGTTTTGGGGAGGTGACTGGATCATCAGGGCATGATACTCAGCAGTGGATTATTTTATAGCTAATTGTAATTTGGGAGCTCAAGCCTAGCCAGAGGAGGGTGCTCATCGGGACATGGCCTGGAAGGGTTTTCCTCTCTCTGCCTCCTTTGATCTCTTCCTGCTTCTTGCCTGCCACGCCACAAACTCTTTCTCCTCTGTCATATTGTCCTGACCTGAACAAGCTAACCATGGAGCAAAATCTCTGTATCAACTGTGAGTCAAAATATTTCCTCCTTAGAGTCATGGGTGTTGGGTAGTGTATCCATCAACCAAAAACCAATTAAGACACAACTGTTTAATTTCACGTGTTATTTATGCATACTGATTTATATTAATGCTCATTTA